CAGCAGCACCCGGATGGATTCCAGCCGGAGCTCCTGGCTCCAGGAGCCCCCCTGCCTCCCAGAACGGGACCCCGGCTCCCCGCTGCCCTGGAACACTCGGGGCTGGGAGGGAATTTGGGAATTCTCCACCTGTCCCCTCGGGGTGGGAGGCAGCTGTGCCAGCCCGGCCCGGGGCCGGGGGAATCCCAAAATATCCCCCGGCAGCCCTGGCAACCCCAAACATGTTTACAGCCCCTGCCCCCCGAGAGATTTCGGGGCCCTCCTCGCTGCCCTCAGCCTCTCTTCCTGCATGGAACAGGAAAAGAGCGGAAAAGGAGGGAAAAGAGGGAAAAGGGAGGGAAAAAGGGAGGAAAAGGGGGAGAAAAGGAGGGGAAATGGGGGAAAAGAGGAGGAAAACGGGAGGAAAAGAGGAGGAAAAAGGGGGAAAAGGGGGGAAAAGGAGGAAAAGAGGAAAAAAGGAGGAAAAAGGGGAGGAAAAGGGGAGGAAAAGAGGAAAAAGGGGGGAAAAGGGGTGGAGAAGGGGAAAAGGGGTGGAGAAGGGGAAAAGGGGTGGAAAGGAGGAAAATGGGAGGGGAAGAGGAAGAAAAAAGGACAGAAAAAGGGTTTGGGGCATAAAAGATGGGCTACAGAGGGAAGGAAGCAGCTGCTGGGGCAAATCAAAAAGTCACCCCAGGACATTCCCCCGTGCCAGCCCTGCTGGCCCTGCCCTGGATCCCCCATCCCATCCTATCCTATCCCTGGATCCCCATCCTGGATCCCATCCTGGATCCCATCCCATCCCGGATCCCAGCCCTGGATCCCATCCCATCCCGGATCCCAGCCCTGCCCTGCTCTGAAGGACGTTCTGGGAGAAGCAGGCACGAGGTCAGGCTGGATCCCCATGAATCACCCGCTCGGAATTACCAGGATTCCAGCATTTCCATATTAACATGAGGAATTGTCGGAATTACCCATAAGCAGCAGGCTGGAACAGCCAGAGGAGGAAGCAGCCACCTTTATATGTCATTTGTGGGAGATTGTGGGAGATTAAATTTAAATACATTGTTGTTTGCCTTAATTGCTTGTTTGAAGCCGATTTTAGGGCTGTGTGATTGAAGGGCTCACTCCATTAAGTGCTCAAACACAGCTAATACATTTTATAAATGGCCTGCACAATTTCACAGGAAAAGAAGTTTCAAAAAAAAAAAAAACACCAAAAAAAAAAAAAAAAAAAAAAAAAAGAGAAAAAAAATGAAAAAAAAAAAGAAAAGGCACAAGGAGGAAATTCACCTGCAGGAGGGGAGGGGAAGGATCTGGGTGAGGCTCGTGTCACAATGACCAGAAAGCTGGGAAACCCTAAATATGTGTTTTTAATTCAGCAGCAATTCCATCATCCCCCAGAGTCCAGCAGATCCCACTAATTCCAGCAGCAATTCCATCATCCCCCAGAGTCCAGCAGATCCCACTAAACCAGCAGCAATTCCATCATCCCCCAGAGTCCAGCAGATCCCACTAAACCAGCAGCAATTCCATCATCCCCCAGTTCCTCCCAGTACCAAGGGCCAGGGAGCCCCCGAGCTCAGCTTTGGGACGGCGCCGATTTCCCAGGAAAGGGAAGGAAAATGGGCGGGAGCAGATTTTCCCAGGAAAGGGAAGGAAAAAGGACGGGAGGGTGAGGCTGGAGGAGGATGAGCCTCCCTCTCCCCCATCCCAAGAAGCCCCGCAGCCCTCCAGGCAGGAGGAATTCCCGCGGGGCACGGGAAGAAGCCCATCCCAAAATAGCATTTTGGGGCGCATCTCCCGGCACCTGCCGCATTCCCAGCTGCTCCAGAGGAGGAACTCGGGAGCAGGACGGGGGCACGGCCCAGGGGAGGCCGTGGAGCAGGAGCCAGCCCGGCCCGGGAGGCTCTGCCGGGAGCCGGGAGCTCACGGCCGGGGGCTGCTCTCCCCCTGGAGCCCCTGGAACGGCGGCTCGGAGCGTCCCGGCTCCGGGATCAACCGGCTCCAGCCCCGTTACACCAAAATCCCATTAACCCCAGAGCCAAAGGAGCCAGAATCCCATTAACCCCAAAGCCAAAACAGCCAAAATCCCATTAACCCCAGAGCCAAAGGAGCCAGAACCCCATTAACCCCAGAGCCAAAGGAGCCAGAATCCCATTAACCCCAAAGCCAAAACAGCAAAATCCCATTAACCCCAGAGCCAAAGGAGCCAGAATCCCATTAACCCCAAAGCCAAAACAGCAAAATCCCATTAACCCCAAGGCCAAAACAGCCAAAATCCCATTAACCCCAGAGCCAAAACAGCAAAATCCCATTAACCCCAAAGCCAAAACAGCAAAATCCCATTAACCCCAAGGCCAAAACAGGCAAAATCCCATTAACCCCAAAGCCAAAACAGCCAAAATCCCATTAACCCCAGAGCCAAAACAGCAAAATCCCATTAACCCCAAGGCCAAAACAGCAAAATCCCATTAACCCCAAGGCCAAAACAGGCAAAATCCCATTAACCCCAAAGCCAAAACAGGCAAAATCCCATTAACCCCAAGGCCAAAACAGCCAAAATCCCATTAACCCCAGAGCCAAAACAGCAAAATCCCATTAACCCCAAGGCCAAAACAGCCAAAGTCTAGCAGACCCAGAGCAATCCAGCTCCAGCAGACCCCAGCCCAGCAGACCCAGCCCCAGCAGGCCCCAAAGATGACCAGACCCAAACGCAGCAGACCCCAAAGATGACCAGACCCCAAAGATGACCAGACCCCAGCCCAGCAGACCCCAACCCCAGCAGACCCCAAAGATGACCAGACCCCAGCCCCAGCAGACCCCAAAGATGACCAGACCCCAAAGATGACCAGACCCCAACCCCAGCAGACCCCAACCCCAGCAGACCCCAAAGATGACCAGACCCCAGCCCCAGCAGACCCCAAAGATGACCAGACCCCAAAGATGACCAGACCCCAACCCCAGCAGACCCCAACCCCAGCAGACCCCAAAGATGACCAGACCCCAGCCCCAGCAGACCCCAAAGATGACCAGACCCCAAAGATGACCAGACCCCAACCCCAGCAGACCCCAGCCCAGCTGGCCCCGGTGGCGCCGAGCCCCGCCGGCCGTACCTGTCCGCAGCCCGGGGCGCCGCACACGAAGGGCCTGTCGTCCCCCATCCTGCAGCAGCCTGGGGAGCAGAGAAGGGAGAGAAATCCTTAAACAGCCCCAAAACCCCCCAGGCACCAGCGGGAGCTGCCCCTCTGCCGGGACGGCGTTGATGGGACGGGAATTGTCCCGGTTTAGGGTCTGGGGTGGGTTTCACAGCCGGGAAGGTGTGGGAGCTTCCCTGGGCTCCAGCATGGCCCAGAGGTGTCCTGCAGCTCGGTGTCACCTCCTGCAAGGCGTCACCTCAGCCCTGCTCAGGGTTTTCGGGGTCAGGAACACGCTGAGACCCGCGGGGATGCTCAGAGCCAGCCCTGGAGCAGCCCAGGAATCCCCCCCGCACAAACAAACCCGCAGGGACCGGGGCAATCCACGGAAAACAAAGTGCGAGCGAGCAGCCATCAAATAAATCCACGGCCCCTCTCTGCACCGGTTATATTTTCAATGGGAGAGAACTAAAATTTGTCATTTAATTAATTAAGGGATTATAGGAGTGGTGCTCCGTTTTACAAGGCAATAATCGGGCTCCCCAGTGGGTAAACTACAAGGCTGATGGCAGGGGCAGTTTATCACGGATTACAGCCAAGGATAACAAAACACTCACTCCTATTATGCTACAAGTGAAGCTGCTCTCATTAATAAAAAATAAGAGTAAATAAAGCAAAACCCTCCCCACCCCAGCCTCAAACTGGAGAAGCGGTGGTTCCCCCACGCACTGGAATTTGTGTTTTCACAGGGGGTTCACAGAGCTGTGCCAGAGCAGTGCTGAGCTGGGGGCTGCTCGGGGGCTGCCAGCGCCAGGCTGGGCTGGGCCGGGCTGGGCCAGGCTGGGCTGGGCTGGGCCAGGCTGGGATGCCAGCAGGGACCAGGCTGGGCCGGGCTGGGCTGGGCTGGGATGCCAGCAGGGACCAGGGCTGGGCTGGGCCAGGCTAGGATGCCAGCAGGGACCAGGGCTGGGCTGGGATGCCAGCAGGGACCAGGGCTGGGCTGGGATGCCAGCAGGGACCAGGCTGGGCCAGGAACCTCTGCACGCTCGCTGGGTATTTTTGGGAGCTCCAGGAATGCAGCAGGGGCAGCGGCAGGAGCCTCTGCTCCCCGGGAGAGGAATCGATGAGCTGCTCAGAATGAACGGAATTGGTGATTTTCTGCTGTGGGAGGTGAATTCCTGCCCCCAGCCACGGCAGCAAGACCCCAGGGCTGACAGGAGAGGAGCTGGGATCCCACAGAGAAAGAGAGGAGCTGGGATCCCACAGAGAAAGGAGCTGGGATCCCACAAAGAGAGGAGCTGGGATCCCACAAAGAGAGGAGCTGGGATCCCACAGAGA